GGGGCCAGATTGACGAAGCAGTTACGCAAGCACTTACGAACCCGGGGCCAAATTCACGAAGTAGTTACGCAAGTACTTTCGAACCCGGGGCCAAATTCACGAAGCAGTTACGCAAGTACTTACGAACCTAGGGCGAGATTCACGAAGCAGTTACGCAAGTACTTACGAACCTAGGGCGAGATTCACGAAGCAGTTACGCAAGTACTTACGAACGTGTACACCTTTCCTCAATCTTTGACGACTTTAGTTACATTTATTAAACAGTTTACAAGCATGAAAACTTGCCAATCAACTGTTGTTATTATTATAAACAGCCTCCTGGGGCTTCGGAGCTCATTAACTGTTTAATAATTGTAAACAAAGCCGCCAAAGATTGAGAAAAGATGTACAGGTTCGTAAGTGCTTGAGTAACTGCTTCGTGAATCTGGCCCCCAGGAGCATTCAGGGTTCTACGAAGACCTTTCGCTACACCAAGAACCATTCGTGTACGAAAAGTCTCCGTCCTGTCAAATGTAGGAAAATTAAAAAAAGTTTATTTCAAAAGTATCGCTGGAGCTTTTATGCGGCTGATTCAGCTTTAATTTATGTAGAGCTGCTTAAGCTTCTCCAGCTTTAGCGTATGACGTGTATTGACCGCAGAGAACAGTCTCCGTGGTGTAGTGGTAAGATACTCGCCTGGCGTTCCGCGAGCGCTATGTCATGGGTTCGTATCCTGGCCGGGGAGGATTTACTGGGCGCAATTCCTTAACTGTAGCCTCTGTTTAACGCAACAGTAAAATGTGTACTTGGATGAAAAAACGATTCTTCGCGGCAGGGGATCGTATTCCAGGGACCATAGGATTAAGGACTTGCCCGAAACGCTACGCGTACTAGTGGCTGTACAAGAATGTAACAACTCTTGTATATATCTCAAAAAAAAAAAAATATCTCAAAGAAAATAATGATTTTTTTGGGGTTTGATTTTTTGGATATTATTTTGTACAATGTTTAAACTCAGAGGTGTGGCTTCGAGGGTTGAGTTTCAGCTCTTGCACCCCCGCTTTCTGGTTCATTACAGATCTTCTTCAAAGATTCTTCCTCGTGTGCCTGTGGCTCACTGGTCAGTCCCAAGTATGAAATAGTGACCATTGGTCAACTGGTCACTTGGTCTCATTGGTCACAATCACTGACCAGTCAGTCGATAGTGAACCGCATCTTCTGTTCAGATGCGGTTATTGACCAGGGGCCAGATTCACGAAAGCACTTACGAACCTGTACATCTTTTCTCAATCTTTGGCGGCTTTGTTTCCAATTATTAAACAGTTAATGAGCTCCGAAGCCCCAGGAGGCTGTTTATAACAATAACAACAGTTGATTGGCAAGTTTTCATGCTTGTAAACTGTTTAATAAATATAACCAAAGCCGTCTAAGATTGAGGAAAGATGTACACGTTCGTAAGTGCTTGCGTAACTGCTTTCGTGAATCTAGCCCCTGAATACTAGAACCTACAGTACAGTTTTGGCCAGAGACACAAGGCCAGAACCCCCAGGCCAGGGACCCCTAGGCCAGGGCCCCTAAGGTCAGGGCCCACAAGGCCAGGGCCCACAAGGTCAGAGATCCCAAGGTCAGGACTGAGGTCAAACTCTTTCACAAGAGTCAAGAAAGGGCTCTCCATAACCCGACAGAAATAATGCTGGCTCTTTCTCCCTGCATGACACACACACACACACACACACACACACACACACACACACACACACACACACACACACACACACACACACACACACACACACAAGCGAATCGGGAAATGCAACATTAAATTTCAGTATCTCGCAGATTTAGACGTTGAAAGGCATATTACTTTTGCGCGCACACACACAAGCGGGGCCCAGGAAACTGGATGCAATTTTCAGAGTGAGATTTTCTGTGCTCCTGAGAGCGAGTAGCGAGTTTATAAGGAATATATATTTGGAAGTTTTTTGTATAAATGTCAGTCTCTGTCAGAGACGAAAATTTGAAATATTTCAATACTTTTGTTTTCAATGGAAGAATCACTGTCGCGAATGACGGTAAATTGTGAGAAGTGTTGGTGGCAATTATCACTGCGCACGCACGCACACACACACACACACACACACACACACACACACACACACACACACACACACACACACACACACACACACACACGGAGGCCTCGTGACCGAGTAGATAATGCTTAGGGGTCGTAGTCCAAATGGCCCGGGTTCAAATCCCGGCGTAGGCGGAAACAAATGGGCAGAGTTTCTTTCACCCTGATGCACCTATTCAGTAAATAGGTACCTGAGAGTTAGACAGCTGCTACGGGCTGCTTCCTGGGTGGAGAGGAGAGGGTGTTAAAGAGAAATATATGCAGTAGATATAATAGAGGAAAAAACAGATTGGGTTAAAAAGGCAGGATCTAAAACCGAATACATCGATTCTGCAGACACAAATAGTAAATCCCCACACACACTGTGGTGTGTGTGGGGATTTCAGGCGTTTTCAGTATATATATATATATATATATATATATATATATATATATATATATATATATATATATATATATATATATATATATATATATATATATATATATATATATAAAGTTTGTGAGGGTACCACCTCTGGTGCCAATGTGGGGACCCATAGCCTCGGAGAAGAAAATAAAAAAGTATTCAGAGGAGACCTTGTGGTTTCTCACTGAACACTAATATTATCTTCTACCACCCCCATTCTTTTGTATGTACACATATATATTTACTTTATTTGAACTTTGTTACAAAAAAGGAGTTACATATGGGTTACAAAGATGGTTATCATAGGTTGTCGAGTTCCTCATATATATATATATATATATATATATATATATATATATATATATATATATATATATATATATATATATATATATATATGCACATACCAGTTGCGTTGCTCCTGGGAGTATGGGTTCGAGTCACTTCTGGGGTGTGAGTTTTCAGTTGCATATTGTCCTGGGGACCATTCAGGCTTGTTCGCATATATATATATATATATATATATATATATATATATATATATATATATATATATATATATATATATATATATATATATACCATTAAACAACACAAACTGTCCCCCAAACTACATAATCGAGGATAAGACCAGAGAGAGAGAGAGAGAGAGAGAGAGAGAGAGAGAGAGAGGAGAGAGAGAGAGAGAGAGAGAGAGAGAGAGAGAGAGAGAGAGAGAGAGAGAAAGTGTTACGAAATCCTCAATTATTTCAATCTCCATCCCTCTCGACAATTCAACTCCTCCGGGCAGTTAATCCGGGAACTATTAAAACACAAACCTTGAAAGACCTAAAGCCACGTAAAGTCTGCCTGAAAGCTTTATAATCCCAGAACAACATCACAACCCCCCCAACCCCCTCACACCCCCCCTCTCACCCCCCACCCCCTCTCTCACACCCCCAACCCCCGGACGGGAAGTTGACACGGGCTGACAAGCGCTCGTTAACAGGGCCAATAGTTGACACTCGTCGATGGTAAACAATTATAGTGAGCTCTTAATTGGTATAATCATAGGTGTCTAAATGGTTTTGAGTACTGAAGACGGTAAGGCTCCCTGCTTCCCCCCCCCCTCCTGGGTGTGAGGCAAGGGGGGGGGGGGTGCAGTGTGTGTGTGTGTGTGTGTGTGTGTGTGTGTGTGTGTGTGTGTGTGTGTGTGTGTGTGTGTGTGTGTGTGTGTGTGTGTGTGGTGTGTGTGTGTGAGTATTTTCTTTCTTCACAAGGGAGGTGTGATCAAGTGTGTTTGGATGTGTATTTCGTAAGCAATTGATAGCAATATTAAATGTAAATCATAGTAATGAATACACGAGATTCAGGTATACGGAATCACTAACAATATTACCAACAACATACACCAATCATTACAATAACTGGCTGAACTAAACAGCTGTACTGCAGGTCTATATATAAATCTTTAATGTTTAGCATAAAGTAAGTAGCATTTAGTACCTAACCAGTAAGATGATGTACATTGAGAAGACGAATATTGGCTAAATTGATATCACAAAACTTTGTAAATTTAAGTGTTCCGTAGACGGGAAATTTGACAGTAAAGTAAGTGTTCCTGAGGCTAGAATCACGCATCACGAATCACGGAAATAATAATTAATAATAACTTATAACTTAAGTTATAAGTTTGAGACGAACAACTTCGAAAGGCAAGTTGAAGACAGATGCAGGTAAGAGAACCTAAGTGAAATCTCTCTAAGTTCTAATGTAATTTTCGTTTCTCTAAGCTAACCACCTTTCTCACGCAAGCTGTCCTAAGCAGCTTGCGTGATAGCATAGGATATATAGCAGCATAGGACATGATAGCAGCATAGGACATATTATTGAACTGTAGAGTAATCACTAATTAATAAGAAGGAACTTTAAAACTCTCCCAAAGAAACCTAATATTCTATTAAATATTATTTACAGCCTCGGTGAAATTACATCAAAGTGTTGACCAAACCACACACTAGAAAATGAAGGGACGACGACGTTTCGGTCCGTCCTGGACCATTCTCAAGTCGATTGTGAGAATGGTCCAGGACGGATCGAAACGTCGTCGTCTCTTCAATTTCTAGTGTGTGTGGTCTGGTCAACATATTTCAGCCACGTTATTGTGACTCCTCGTCTACATCAAAGTTCACTGCCTTCGTATTTTTGTTATCGAATTGTATTACATTACATTTTATAACCAAAAAAACCTTTGGTTATATTGAACAAAAACATAATCAATTTTTTGGGATACGTTAGACCAATTAAGAGTTATCTGTTATCTTAACAGTTATCTATTGGTACCGCAGCATTGCTTCATAGTTTTGTGCCACACTTTTTTTTTATACAGAATATATGCCCTTATCGAAGTCATATGTAAATTGAGTACAAAACACGTCCAAAAAGACTGGCCGCTGAAAATGTGTATCCCACTTCACTCGCTTATACTGACTTTATAAGGAGAGGCCAGAGCAGAAGAAGCCAGAGCAGAAGAGGCCAGTCCAAAAGAGGCCAGTCCAAAAGAGGCCAGTCCAAAAGAGGCCAGTCCAAAAGAGGCCGGTCCAAAAGAGGCCAGTCCAAAAGAGGCCAATCCAGAAGAGGCCGGTCCTAAAGAGGCCAGTCCAAAAGAGGCCAGTCCAAAAGAGGCCAGTCCAAAAGAGGCCAGTCCAAAAGAGGCCGGTCCAAAAGAGGCTAGTTCAAAAGAGGCCAATCCAGAAGAGGCCAGTCCAAAAGAGGCCAGTCCAAAAGAGGCCAATCCAGAAGAGGCCAGTCCAAAAGAGGCCAGTCCAAAAGAGGCCGGTCCAAAAGAGGCCAGTAGAGGAGAGGCCAGTAGAGGAGAGGCCAGTCCAAAAGAGGCCAGTCCAAAAGAGGCCAGGCCAAAAGAGGCCAGGCCAAAAGAGGCCAGTCCAAAAGAGGCCAGGCCAAAAGAGGCCAGGCCAGAAGAGGCAAGTCCAAAAGAGGTCCGGAGACACTACACTACTCTTCTCTACCTGCCAATTATAGTCACTGTTCACTGCTCTCCTCCAATCATCAGTAAACTGCATTTTACACTGTTCAACAATTCTTCACAGAATGTTCATCTCTGTTCTTCCTGAATTGTTCTTACAAGAAAATTTAACCCCCCCACCCACCCAGCCTTTCTATTTAGTCACACAAAATGGCATCCAAATAATATAATTTGCAATTCATTACGTAAACTATTTAAACCACAATTTAATAAATACATTTTTTTAAAAGTAGTCTTTGATAATGGAGCTGACTAAGAATACTTCTGGAATTATTACAATTTCTGAACGAGATTGGCTTAAGGAACTAAGACAGACAGATAATACAACTGGTTCTAGCGAATTGTGTCCAACAATTTTCAAGGTTACTCGATAGAGGAGAAGTTCAAAACGATTGGAAGCTTGCAGATATCGTAGCTTGCTTGACGGCAGATAGCCAACCAGCCAACCTTGACGTCAGATAACCAATCAGCCAACCTTGACGTCAGATAGCCAACCAGTCAACCTTGACGTCAGATAGCCAACCAGGCAAGCTTGACGTCAGATAGCCAACCAGTCAACCTTGACGTCAGATAGCCAACCAGTCAAGCTTGACGGCAGATAGCCAATCAGCCAACCTTGACGTCAGAAAGCTGTAGACTATTGGTTGTCTAAACGCATTTGACAATTAGTGTACCAACGGTGTTATAAAAGAAATGTTATCTAAATGTTATCATAAAAATACACGAGTAAACATATTTGGTAATGTCGATAGAACGGAAGTCACGATAACGGGATTGACTTTTTTGAGGCCCAACTAACACACCGGAAAATGGATTGAGTGGCGACGTTTCGGTCCAGGACGTGGATAGTGGTCCAGGACGGACCGAAACGTCGTCAGTTCCTTTATGTTCAAGTGTGAGGGTTGGGTGTCTGTGTGTGTGTGTTGAGTGTGGTGTGTGGTGGGTGGGTGTGTGTGTGGTGTGTGTGTGTGTGGTGTGTGTGTGTGTGTGTGTGTGTGTGTGTGTGTGTGTGTGTGTGTGTGTGTGTGTGTGTGTGTGTGTAAATACAATCTCTCCCTTCTACAGTCTTCGTAGCATCCCGCTGCTGTTGGACCAACAGACTTGTTTCTTATGAAAGCCTCATAGTTCTACTGGGTTTGCTTTGCAATTACCTTGCAATATGTGACTCTTGCATACCCCTGCCGAGATAAGTGACTTGGCTACATGGCAGAACATAATATGGTCTCCTAAGATCAGATTAATTATGCCTTACCTTTTTTTTAAAAGATAAGCAATATCTTTTTTCTGTGTCAAGCAACTTTTTATTTATTTTTCCCTCCCCCATTTTATTTGAAAATTTCAATGATATATGCTTTCCTAAATTTCCATGACCCGTCCAAGTCATATTCAACTACATATTTCTAATTTAGCTGTCAACATTCTTCATAAATTTTAGAAAAAAATTTAAAACCAAATTTTTTAGTGACTTATATTTTATAAAGAATGTGATTTGGCAAAGATGATGGTTTCTTCAAAGTGATCTCAAGATGATTCTGAAGAATTTTAGGGATTCTGAACAAAAACTCTCAACAGATATTCTTCAGAATATTTTATGGTAGCTGTGGGGACATCTACCATTTTGTCAAGATTTAGAGTTGCGAGGGATTCGAAGGGGGGAGTACGTTTGACAGGCTGGAGATGGGACCGGAAGACAGGAGGGAGAGGGAAGGGGGGCTTAGTTACTTACTTAAATCCTTTCCCGTCATCCATTGTTTCTTCTTTCTTTTCCTCCTCTCCATTTCTCCTTCAAGAGTATGCATAACATACCATGCCCAAATGCCTCCTTCTCATACCACCAAAGCGAAATATTCTTAAGGAAAAAAGTACACTTATGTACAACACTTAGAACCAGCACTTCAAGGTTCTCCATACTTAAACAATAATCTCCAAGTAGCTACACAGAGAGTGTGGGTTCTCTACTGATGGTGTCAGAGATCGCAAAGTTAAGATGGATCTCAACATTCAGTGAAAATGTATAGGATCTGTCTCTGAGTGAAAAAAATTCTTATAATCTTTTTCGATAATCGAACATAGGTGTAAGATGTTCGTATGACGACTGTGTACTGGCAGTACGACTGTGTACTGGTAGCCACGACTGTGTACTGGTAGCCACGACTGTGTACTGGTGATACACACAGGATAACCAACTGGTTGTATTCAACTTGATATCTGGTTTAGATGTGGACGATAGCCAGTGAAACTTTCATATGAAACTTTTAATTTTGTGTCTTTATTTGTGAAATTCAGAGTTGTGTATTCACCTAGTTGTGCCTTGCGGGGCACGAGCTGCAGCTCCTGGTTCCCGCCTCTTAATCGATTGGTTAAGAGGATGTAAAGTCTATTGCGCATTGTCCTTTATAATGCTTGTTTGCGCTTTGTAATGAGGGGTATACACACACACACACACACACACACACACACACACACACACACACACACACACACACACACACACACACACACACACACACACACACACAGCCCCTAACACTATTACTAAGTTAATCTAAGTTTTCGCCTGTAACTTCATGACTATGTAATTCACAAGATAATATCGAACTTTGAAGGGTGTGCAGGTAGTGATGGGTGGTGGGGGGCGGGGGGGAGATGGTGGTAGGTGAGATGGTGGTAGGGGGGGAGTAACAAGCACATAATGTGTTGCTGATAAGGTGGGTAACCTAGTGAGGTGCCATGGTGCCATGGTGAGGTGCCATGGTGCCATGGTACCATGGTGCCATGGCCATGGTGAAGTCCCATGGTGCCGCTTCAGCAGTGAGCAAGAATGCCACTATAGTGCTTATCTTTTTCGTTTTTTGTCATAGTTTTAGTGACCAAAGTATTTAGTAAGGATGGAGGGAGGGATAAGGATGGAGATTAGAAAAAATGGAAAATATAGGAACGTGGATATAACAGGAGTGGGATAAAAAGTTCTGTGGATTGTCCACTTTGGATCTGTAGTGGTTTATCCACTTTGTCCACTTTGGAACTGTGATGGGTGGTGTTGTGCTGTGTGGGGAGGAGAGGGGGGGGTAACTGCAGCCCAATTCCGACGTACTCGTACGTCGGAATTGGGCTGTTGACGTAGTAGTTCAGGCTTTTAACCGGGATGGTATTTTAAGGTAGTTCCTCCCCAAAATCAACCAAAATCAACCAATTTGCCCACAAAAGGATTTTATAGTGTTTTATTTTTTGTATTTCAGTTTTTGTGTGTTTATACATTCATTTAATTACTTCATCAAGTGAAGATTGGATCCGGGGAAGAGCCAATCTTCTGGACCATCTAGAAGGAGACGTGGGGGGAGGGGGGAGGTCTTGGGAAGTGGGATTTATGGGTCAACCTCTTTTTTTGTAGGAGGGGGATTAGTCTGGCTCTATATATGGGATTCCTTGGATTTCACCGTCACTTGTGTAAAGAGTACAAAAGGTAAGTTTTGTCACCTCACGGTAAGGGGTGACAGAGGCTTGTCATTCTGTAGAGTTGAGTGGGAGTTGATTGACAACTTACCCTACTTGCAAGCCTTCGTGATAAAAGATGCTCACACAGCTTCACTGTTTGAAGAGAAAGACGCCCATATAGGAAGCTGCCACCATTACGTTAGCAACCATGCGAAAGTAAAAAAGTAGTGTTGCAACCATGCGAATAAGGTAAAAAAGTAGTGTTGCTTTAGGTCTTTTCCTAAGAGCATGCGGCGTACTTTTAGTACTCGTTATTTAAACATTGAAATTAATGATTTACCATCAACTTAAAAAATGGGATTTCCTAATTGGCTTCTTCGTGCATCTTTAAAAGCTGTCCAATGGAGCCAACCTCCATTATGTGGGAGCAATAGGACCGACCCCAACCAGCCTATGATGGTCTACCCCTCCCCACCAGTCTCCCTGCAAAGTTGAGTGAGGCTAGCCATAGGCCTCTAGGCTCCAGTCAAAGACACACACATACACACACACACTCTTGTAGATACAATATCATTCACAACAGGAACATCATTTGCAACAACCAACCAATTAATAAAAAAAAGACAAATTGTTGAATAATGCATAATATGACATCATTGTAACATGTGTGTTCTTCACTCTCTACACAACACAAGTTTGGTGAGGGGGAGAAGGGGGGTAGAGGGGTAGTGGGGGGGAATCAGGAGTCACCACTACAAGTCATTATATATAAACATCAAAGCATTTCTCCTTGCCCCTATCCCACATACATCTCCCATCCCCTTCCATAGGCGGGACCAAAGAGCCAGAGCTCAACCCCCCTCCCCCCGCAAGCACAACTTGGTGAGTACATACTCCAACACCCCCCCCCCCCCACACACACCCACACACAAACACACCCAAACGTCTCCCCCCACACCAGGGATGGTAGGGAAAAAAACTAACCCCCCCCCCCCCAGGGCTGGGTTTGTATTTATTAAATCAAGAGATAAAAAGAGTGCAAGTTTAAATTTAAACTAAAATAAGTAAATTGACCCCACATTAAAAGAAGCAAAAAGTATTTTTTTTTAAACCCGACCAGGCAAAAAAAAAATATATATGTATATATTTAAACCCGGTTTGGGCAGGTGTGTGTGTAGCTACCACGCCAAACCTGACTCCTCCCCAAACACACACACACACACACACACACACACACACACACACACACACACACACACACACACACACACACACACACACACACACACAAACACACGTGCCAAAGAAACACAGGTGCCAGAGGCATGCACAAAAGCGAACACCACGTGTTACTAGATCTTACCTTGGCGTCAATAGTGTGCTCCACCACGATGCTCACACACCTGGTGCTCAGTGCCGGGGCTCAGTGCCGGGGCTCAGTGCCGGGGCTCAGTGCCGGGGCTAACAGCTTGTGTCGACTCAAGAGACAAGTAATGCCAACGATATTCTGCCACAAGTCTCTCACTCACGCACTCACTCACTCACTCACGCACGCACTCACTCACTCACTCACTCACTCACTCACTCACTCACTCACTCACTCACTCACTCACTCACTCACTCACTCACTCACACACACACACACACGTGTTTCTCCTCGTCAACCGTATACAAGTTTCCCCTAAAGTTGTTCTTCACAAGCAACTCCTGACCAAGATCTCTCACTAATCATACCAAAACAAGGCTATACCAGCCATTAACAGCAATTGATGGTTTCCTTAACTACCCGTAAGATCACTCACAAGACAATCGGCCAGCCTCTTATAGTCAGGTTAATGACCCAAGCAGTTACACTCCGTTTGTTACAAATAACCTAAGCTGTTACCTGTGCAGCATAACACACCTGTGTGGAAAGGCTACAGGTAACGTAGCTCCTTAAGTCACATGTGTCAGGTATGTACGTATCGTCTGAGGCCAGATTTTCAGTGTTGGAGTTGGTCAGGGAAGATGGAATGTGTGAATATATTCTTTCCCTCTCTCTAAGTCTCTACTCTAAGTGGTCCTATAACAATAAATGGATAAAATTATATTTGTAAACCAGTTAAATATCTTAATAACATCAAAGGTAAAGCTATATAAATGATATTAGTGACCTACTAGTTTCTGTAGACATAATTGTTGGCACATCAAGGTATACTCTTCTATGTGCAACTGCCGTCAAGACAATCCTTATTAACCGCAAGAAATTATTACTAATAAAACTCGCTCATTGTCGGTAAAGTTCCCCGGTAATGATAAGGTTCTTGTTGAACATCAGTGACATTGTTTGTTTTTCATTTTAAAGTGAAAATAATAACTTTTGGGCATTACGTTATTCATCCACGAGGACGAGGGGAATCTATTTGGCTTGTCTGTGGCTGACGCGGCCAGCGAGGGGAATAACGGAAGGGGTCCCACGACACGTCCGAACACCAGCGGTGCTCGTCACCCACTGAGGCGCTACGTTCAGTCACTGCTTGCCTGAACCCTTCCCTCTTCCGCCTCCCCCTCCCTCCACTCTACCTCTCTCCTCCCTTCCTATCCCTCCAACTCCCCCCTCCTACCACTTCTCTCATTCCCCGGAGGGGCCCCTGGTCTATCCCCCCCTCACTCCCCTCTCCCCCGACACACATACCTACTATCCAGCAATCATTATATACAATCCACACAATGAACAACTCTGAAAAATCAAACTTTTTTGTAATATTCTCTATTAAAAAAGCGTGACCCCCTGTTTCAAAACACACTAGCCCCCCCCCCCTAGCCCCCCGTCCAAAACCCCCCACCCAAAAAATTATGAATAAAACTATCGCAAACAGTCTTGCGAAGTGCCTCGTAAAATCTAAGACATTGAGTGGAAATCTTTAAGATATTTTTATCTATATATTTTTTTATTAATAACATTAAGTTCCATCTGCAACTACCCTATAGACCTAGATGAAGGAGGTCTACTACCTGCCTGCCACAGGTAACGGTAGCCACCTGCCACAGGTAACGGTAGCCACCTGCCACAGGTAACGGTAGCCACCTGCCCACAGGTAACGGTAGCCTACCTGCC